GTGGCACAACCAATGTTTCCCAAAAGTCACTTCCTTACTTTTATTAACAATGCTACTATTTATAAAGCTCAGGATACCAAACGCTTTTTTAAAACCACTTTTCTACCTGCTCTTTAAAGATTTGAGCAGATTTACTTCTCAAAACCACTGCAGAGACTTGTTAAGCCACCAGTCGCTGAAGAGGGAGTTTGTGCTCCAAAATTCAGTCAGACTCAAGTTGAGCTGACCCACATGATCAGGTCAGAACATAAGTTCTCCCCCAGCCTGTTGAGGTAATGCTATTATTCAAAATTTGGAGCTTTTTAACTAGCTTTATGCCAAATTAAGCGGATGTGCTGGCAACATTGTTAAATACAGTAAAAATAATTTTGACTTTACAACATTCATGGTGCATAAATATTTACATATTTGTTAATCTTTCCTGAACATATTTACTATTTTGCACAAATGAATGGTTGAAGACCATTAGCACTCACCGCCTCTCAATGGCTTCTTGTCAGATTTGGGTTTTGTTGCACTCGATGTACTGGATTCTGACTCCTGATGTTAAACACAATGAAATAATTAGTCCTGTTGTATAAACAGTTTGTCAAGATTAGGTACTGTTGATAATAAATACCACACAAATAATATGCAACAGAAATCTGAGAGGTCGAGCCTAATATCCTAGGACCACAGGTTCAAAACTCACCATAGCAGCTTGTACAAATAACAAAAGAGAAGTATGGCACAGAAACAGGCCCTTCAGCCCTCCAAGCTTGTGCTGATCATCATGCCCTGATTAAACTAAAAAACAAACCTGCTACCCTTATTCAGTCCAAATCCCTCTATTCCCTCCCTATTTATGTAACCATCCAAATGCATCTTAAATGTAGCCAATGTGCCTGCCTCCACCACCTCCCCTGGCATTGCATTCCAGACTTCTAGCATTCTCTGGGTGAAAAACTTTCCTCACACATCTCCCTTAAACTTTTGCCCTCTCCCCTTTAACTTGTGTCCCTCTGTAATTGAAACTTCAACCCCGGGAAAAAGCCTCTGATAGTCCATTATCTACGTCGCTCATAATTTTGGTAGACCTCTATCAGGTCTCTCAGCCGCCGTTTTGTAGAATTTCAAATTAATTAATAAATCTGGATTTGAACGTTAGTCTCAGTACTGGAATCACCACTGACTGTTGTAATTATTGGACAATATTCAGAAACAAAAACAGAAGTTGCTGGAAAAGCTCAGCAGGTCTGGTAGCATCTCTGAAGAAAAATCAGAGTTAACGTTTCGGGTCAGGTGAACCTTCATCAGAAGAAAATATTCAGGCTTGGGTTTGGGCATGAAACATTTATGTCATTCAAGTGCCAGAGAATGACCATCTTCAACAACTATCATCCTTATCAATCAGCGGCATTACTACTGCTAAATCCCTGTGTTGATGTTTGTGTACGCTGGTGTTTAATTTCTTTCCTGTTTGTCCAATATAGTGTAGTATGTAGTAAACGTAGTAATGTAGTAAACAATACATTGGACAAACAGGAAGGAAATTAACCACAAGCATACACGAACATCAATTGGCAACAAAAAGACACAACCAGTACTCTCTCATCTCCATCCGCATGGATAAGGAGAACCACCAATTCCATTGGGACAACACCAGGATCCTGGGACAAGCTAAGCAGAGACAAGCACAAGAACTCCTAGAAGCCTGGGTACTCCACTAAGAAAGCCATCGATAAACACGCAGAGCTCAAGCCCATACACACTACATTGCGAAGGAAAACCGGGAGGGAGGTAATCCAGCCCAATGGACACCGGAGTTCAAATACCAGGCAGGAAAACACAACAGCGCTTCATCGGAGGCTGCACTGATGATGTTACCCAGCAGGCGAGCCAACCAACCACACTAGCCATTGACTCCCACACCCACAGATAAATGAAAACACAATCTGGTTCACTCATGCCCTTTGGGAAAGGAAATCTGTTGTCCTCACCTAAACGAGCCTACATGTGACTCCACAATGTGGTTGACTCTTAATTGCCTCTGTAATAACCTAATAAGCCACTCAATTCAAGGGCACTTAGGAATGAACAAATGCTGGCCTTGCCGGCAGTACCCACACACCATGAAACAATAAATAATCACAGCAAAACATAAGAATCATATTACAGGATGCATGTTGGTTCTCTTCCGGGAACTCTTTCCTTCTTGCATATTCTCCCATGCTTCGATTTTCTCTCTCCTCTTCTCTTCTTCAATCTGATCAAAACAACAGGAACTTCATACATCAGTTATCACAAATGTAAACTCATCATTATTTTCTTACTCTGTGCCTCTACTTATAAAAAGCAAATTTTAACACCTGTATTGGCCTGCACTCTGTTGTTCAGCAATTACCTACTTGACCCTTCAGTTTCTCCACACCTTTCACTGTCTCTCCTTTGACTGCACATTTCCCTCATGGTATTCACTCCAAAACAGTCTCAACTGACACTTATCCCAATAAATACACTTCTGCCTGGTAGCCCATCTGCCAACTCCATTAATCTGATGTAATTTACAATTCACTTTGCTTGCTAATCCTCTTTGAATTATTGAATCTTATAGCTCAGGAGGCCACTTGGCCCACTGTGACGATGCTGGTTCTCAAAGACTTCTGAAATTGATCCTGATCCTCTGTTCTTTCCCCAGAACACACTAACCTTGGTCTTTTCCAAGTATTTATCTAATTCTGCTTTAAAAATTTCAATTGATTCTGCTTCAACCAATCATTCAGTATTGCATTCCAACATTCTAATGCTCAACAACATGCTGTTAAACAAAGCTTCTCTTCAGCATTCCTGTGACTCTTTAAATAATGTTCTCAAATCTGTCTTACTGTCCTACCAGTGGAAACAGGTTTTTGGTCACTGATACAGTTTGAAATTGTGCTTCCTGTATTGACATCCAAATCATCTACCTACAACAGGTGGTAACGTTGTGATCAGCTGATTCACTGCAGTCTTACTTCTTTCTGCTTTTCTCGATATTTCGCTGCCTGTGCATCCAGCTCCTGTTGCATCCGATGGCGAGCAGCATCCATTGCTTCCTGGCGCCTCATAATTAATGATGGTTCTAATTTCAAACAGAATAAAACCATTCTATAAGCTGCGCATGTTTAATGAAGCAATTTCTTCAAGAAATGCTAGAAGTACTTTTTCTTTGGAATAGAAATTGCGTGACTGCTTTTGTAACCGTCAAACACTATTAGGAATAAGTCATTTCTGCCACCTTTAAATGGATATCAAAAGATAATTGAGAGTGAAGATGACTCAATTTAATTATCCAAAATAGACTGAAAACGTCTCGAGATTAGATTGGTTAGTGAACATTCTGCTAAACATGGAAGTCTATTTCATAATCGGTCACTGTGCCAACAGAATAGAATTAAGGTCTAAAGGAAAATTCTGAAAATACAAAATTGAGTGAATTTATTGGGTTCTGGAGATCTAGCTTTTCTCTCAGTTTCTCTGTCACAATTATTTACTTATACTGAATCAAGTTCTTTCTTCCTTGATTTATTTTCCTGAGAACCCTGATATTTTATCCTCATGCTCGACTGTGATGACCAATACAAAGCAAGTATTCAGTAAATCTGTCATTAAGTACTTCGAACATCAGCAGTTTTCATATGGAATTTTATCTGTTGATAGTCATGCCCACTGTGATGTCAACTTTCTGTTTCACCCCGCCAAAAATCAGCCTGATTATACAAACTTATACGAGTAGGCCACTGGAAGCTGCTCCATCGTTCAATGAGATCATGGCCAATCACATTACTCCACATTTCCAGCTAGCCACAATAATCTTTTACCCTCTTGTTTATCAAAAACATATCTACCTCTGTCTTTAAAAAGTATGCCAAGACTGCTTCCATCACTTGTTAAGGAACAAGTTCCAAAGTCACTTAGAGTCAGAGTAAAACAGCATGGAAACAGGCCCTTTGGCTAAAATTGGTCCATGCTGACCATGGTGCCCACTCAGCTAGTTTCAATTGCTGCATTTGGTCTATATCCCTCTCAACCCCTCCCAACCACGTACTTGCCTCAAGAACTTCCTCTGGCAGCCCATTCCATATATGCACCATTCTCTGCATGAAGAAATTGCCCTTCTGGTCTTTCTTAAATCTTTCCCCCCTCACCCTTAAATCTGTGCCCTCTAGTTTTCAATTCGTCATCCCTCATGATTTTATACACATCAATAAGGTCACCCCTCTTTACTCCTTATAATGTAGGAGAATGTCCTACCCTGGCCAACTTCCCCTTATAACTCAGGCCTACTAGTCCTGGCAACATCCTCATATCTTCTTTGCACACTTTCCAGTTTAACTATGTCTTTCCTACAACAGGATGACCAAAACGGTACACAATACTCCAAACATAGCCTTACCAACGACTTATACAACTGTAACATAACATCCCAACTCCTATACTCAATGCCTTGACCGATGAAGGCCAGCATGCTAAATGCCTTCTTCACCACCCTATCCACCTGTGACGCCGCTTTCAACAAACTATGTAATTGGTATTCCTAGGTCCCTCTGTTCCACAACACTCCAGCACCTTACCATTTACTGTGCAAGTCCTACCTTAGCATGACTTTCCAAAATGCAACACCTCACACTTATCTGTATTGAATTACATTTGCCAATCTTCAGCCCACTTCCCCATCTGATCAACATCTCTCTGTAATTTTTGATAACCACCATCGCTATCAACAATATCTCTAATTTTGTATCATCCGCAAACTTACTAATCATGCCTTCTGCATTCACATCCAGATCATTCATGTAAATAACAAATGACAAAGGTTCTAGCACCGACCCCTGTGGCACACCACTAGTCACAGGCCTCCAGTCTGAGAAACAACCTTCAACCATCACCCTCTGCTTCCTACCATTGAGCCAATTTTGAATCCAATTAGCTGGCTCTCCCTGGATCCCATGCAACCTAAAATTCATGACTATCCTGCTGTGCAAGACCTTGAATAAGGCCTTACTAAAGTCCACATAGACAACATTCACTGCCATACCCTCATCCATCTTCTTGGTTACCTCTTCAAAAACGCTAAGAGATTTGTCAGACATGACTTCCTGTGCACAAATCCATGCTGACTATCCGTAATCAGACCTCAACTATCCAAATGTTGTTTGATCCAGTCCCTCTGTATCCTCTCCAATAACTTGCCTACCACTGATGCCAGGGTGATTGACCTGTAGTTCCCTGGCCTGTCTTTGCTACCTTTCTTAAACAATGGAACAACATTAGCCACCTTCCAATCTTACAGATCTTCACCAGTGGCTAAAGATGAAGCAAAAATCTCTGCAAGAGCCTCTGCAATTTCCTCCCTACCCTCCCACGATGTCCAAGGATGGACTTGATCAGGCCCAGGGGATTTATCCACCTTTATGTGCTTTAAGGCTGCAAACACCTCCTCTCTGTTAGTGTGTATGCAGTCCAAAATATCCCCATTTGTTTCCCTTATTTCCTTAGCACGCATGATTCTCTCCTCAGTAAACACGGAGGAGAAATATTCATTAAAAATCTCCCCCATCTCATGTGGCTTCACACATAGATGGCCATTCTGATCTTTAAGGGGACCTATTCTCTCCCTTTTACTCTTAATATAGCTATACAACCTCTTGGGATTATCTTTAACTTTATCTGCCAGATCCATCTCATACCCTCTTTTTGATCTTCTGATTTGCCTCTGATTTCTGAGTGTGCTCCTACACTTTTTATAGTCACCTGGAGATTCACTTGAACCCAATGTATGCCACCTTCTTTTTCCTGACCACAGCCTCAATATCCCTCGTCAGCCAGGGATCCCTAAACCTGCCAGCTTTTCCCTTCACCCTAACAGGGACGTTCATAAAAGATATCACACTTTTAAAAGCCTCCCCATTTGCAAGTCATTCCTTTTCCTTCAAACAGACTCACCCAATCAACCTCTGCTAGATCCTGTCTAATGGCCCCAAAATTGGCCCTGCTCCAGTTTAGCACCTTAACTTGTGGACCTGTCCTATCTTTTCCCATAACTATGTTAAAACTAAGAGTGTTATGGTCACTGGTCCCAAAGTGCTCTCCGAATGACACCAGCCACGTGCCTGACTTTGTTTCGTAAGAGGAGGTCCAGTGTTACACCCTTCCGATTTGGGCCCTCTACATATTGATTTAAGAAACTTTCTTGGACATATTTGACAAATTCCACCTGTCGGGGCCTTTCACATCCTGGTTGGCCCAATCAATGCAGGGAAAATTAAAATCTCCAACGAATACTACTCTATTATTCCTACAGGTATCTGCAATCTCTCTACACATCTGCTCCTCTAGTCTCCGCTGGCTATTTGGGGTCTATAATACATTACCAACAGAGTGACCATCCCCTTCTTGTCTCTGCGTTCTAACCATATGGTCTCATTTAATGACCCTTAAAGATTTTCCTCTCTGAGCACTGTTATGTCCTCCCTTAAAAGGGCAACTCCCCCTCCTTGCTCTAACCACACCTTGACACCGGGTTCTGTCTGACCTGCTGTACAGTAGTGATGACTGTGGCGATATCCCAGAATTCCATTGTGAGGACTCTCAGCCACCCTCAATTCGCACTTAACCCTCAAAGAAAAAAATTCTCATCGCTTAAACATGTGACCTCTGATTTGTAAATAATGATCCCTACTTGTACATAAGAGGAAGCATCCTTTCCACAATCACCCTGTTGAGACCATTCAGGATACTGTACGTTTCATTCAGTCATCTCCTACTTTTCTAAATTCCAGCAAACACAAGTGTAGCTTATCTAACTTTTCCTCATACAATAACCCAACCAACTGCAAAATTAGCCTCGTAAAACCTTCTCTGAACTACTTTCAATGCATTTACATCCTTCGTGAAATAAAGGGACCAGACCAGTACCAGATTTGGTTTCACCAATGACCTGTACATTTGAAGCAGAACCTGTTTTCAGTTCCCTTTCAATAAATTAGAACATTGTTAGCTTTACTAATTACTTGTCATACCTGCATTCTAGCCTTTTGTGATTCGTACACTAGGTCCCTTTGAAGAGCTCGGAGATGCACGCAATTTCTACGTGATAATACACTTCCTCTTTTATTCTTCTTGCCAAAATAGAACGTTGTGTGAGAAAATGTGAAAACTTCCATTTGCCGTATCTTTACCCACTTAATTTCCTACTTACCATGTGACATTAGCAAATTTAGCCACACCTTTGGTCTCTTCCTTGAACTCATTTATATCAACTGTAAAATGTTGAGGCCCCTGCACCGATTCCTGTGGCATATCACTCACTATATCTCACCAACCTGAAAATGATCCATTTATGACTGCAGATAGCAAGAACTGCAGATGCTGGAATCAGAGATAACAAAGAGACCATTGGATTGTAGGCTGGAAGGTGTTATCGTTCGTCGCAAACATAGCGTAGGTGCTCTACAAAGCAGTCTCCAAGCCTCCGCTTGGTCTCACCGATGGCTCGGAGACCGCTTTGTAGAGCGCCTACACTTGGTTCGTGACAAACGACAACATCTTCCAGTTGCAAACCACTTCAACTCCCCCTCCCACTCCCTGGACAACATGTCCGTCCTGGGCCGCCTCCAGTTCACAATGATGCCACCTGGAAACTGGAGGTGCAGCACCTCATATTCTGCCTTGGAAGCCTACAACCCAATGGTCTCAATGTGGACTTTACTAGCTTCAAAGTCTCCCCACCCCATCCTCATCCCATGACCAACCCTCCCTCTCATCCCCGTTTCCTTGACCTGTCCGCCTTCTCTCCCACCTATCCGCTCCTCCCACCTCACTGACCAATTCCTACCACTGCCTACCTGTACTCACCGATCACCATCCCACCTACCTTCCCCAGCCCCACCCCTCCTCTCTATTTATTAGAGCTCCCTTCTCCCCCCTCTTTATATTGTCTGCTAGTCTTTTGTCCTAACTCCTTTTTGCTTCTCTCACGTCCTTTATCACCACTGCTGCCTCCATCCAGACCCACCCCACCCCAACTCAACCTTCAATATTCCTGCTGATTCTCAACTGTATTACCTGTTACGAGCACTC